TTCGTTGGAGAACACACACACACACACACACACGCAAACACACACTGTGCAGGATTGCTTTTCTTTTTTTTATGTTTTGTTGGAGAACACACACACACACACACACAAACACACACACACACACACACACACACATACACACACACACTGCAGGATTCATGCTGGCGCTGTGCACAACACATCCACCCATAAAATGTCGTTGAGGGCAGCGATTGGAACTTAGTAACTCACCTGGTTGAGCGATGCGCGTGCAATCAGAGAGGAAGCATGTCCGTTTTTCAAACACAGGCAGAAACGAGAAACATCACAAGATTCAAGACAAAAAAAGTCCGTATTTCTAGGAGCACAAAAGCAGGCAAGGACACACTACCCTCAATATACTGATTCTCTAATGTCTACTCATCCTCCTCCCTCGACTGTTCTTCCCCGTGAGACTCCGCCTGCGACGGGTCCTCCTCCGACTCATCCCCGTCCGCGTCTCCACTATTGTCAGATTGCTGGGACATTTCCTTCTCCTCCTCTTATGTTCTGTGGCGCACTGTCTTCGGATGATGATGATGAGGATGAAGAAGACTGTTTCTTCCGGCTAGGACACGGATTTTCTTCGTCGTCCTCGATCACCTCAGCCATTCCCTTCCTTGCAGGCCTTCTTGCCTTGGCAGCTGCAGCCTTTGCGGCCTCTGCACGTGCTGCTGCTTTTGCAGCCTTCTTCGCGGGCGAAAGCGGAGGCCGCCGTCTCTTCTTTTTTGGTGGTGCATCCTCCTCCGCAACCTTCCTCTTTCGTTTCTGAACCGGCTGTTCTTCGGCAATGTCCAATGTCGTTGCCTTCTTCTTGCATCGCCCGTGACCCGACACCACCTCCCTCCCCTGCACCCAATCGTCGGTTTGACGCACCTTCAATGCACGGTCACGGCCCTCCAATGTCTACACGAACCCGAGTTCGGTCTCTTCAACACCCGACTTCCTGCGCAACTCCCGCACTCGATGCTTCCCGGGCTTCGTGTTTGCGTGCCATGTTCTCTCCAGCGCACCGAGTGCGGCGATATCGTCCTCATCATCCGCAAAGTTCTCCTCCTCGTTCCGCAACCATGTGCGCTCCAGCGGGGCATCGTCGAATTCGTCTACGCGGACCTCTGTTGCAGCAACATCGTCGGCTGTCCCTTCCCTAACCCGTGCAGCCCATTGGTCGTACCACTCATCGACTTCCATGCTCGCCAGCTCGTCGTCCTTCCACGGAATGTGCACGTTTTCCCCGTCCCCTCGCTCTCTCCGCGGCGACAATCGGATATTCTAATGAGCTGGTGCAAGCTCCAGTTTCACTCGCACGCAGCCGACGAGCTCGCCTGCCCAAGCAGTTTGATCGCCTGCGGTTGGAGGAGGTCCAAAGACCCCCCGAACGCCTCCCACCGTAGCGCCGGAGTCTTCGAACTCGTCTGATCCCTTGCGTTCTGCGATCCCAAAGTGCCCAATCCCTGCACCCTCATGTCCACCTGTCTACTGATTTCTCCCTGCAGCAACTCAGGCGGCGCCCAAGAGTAAAGCCAGATGTTGAACCCCTCGCGAATCTGCGTGTCTCGCACGGTATGCGTCCTGTACTCGGGGTTGAGGAAGGCGGCCGCGCAATGCAGCTCTGATGTCATGAACGCCCAGCGGTCCATCAAAATCTTCTCCACATCCGCCTTCTCAGCCTCCGACAGGCAGTCTAGCGTGCGCATTCTAGCCACAACCGCGTCCATGCCGAAATACACTTTGCTCATAGTTGCTCCTGGACCGTCCACCAAACGAAGGAGCTTGACAACTGGCTCCATCACCGCAATGGCCTTATCCACAACCTTCCAAAAGCCATTCGTGTCCATGATGATGTGGGTGACGGCGTTGAATGCTGCCACTCACTCCCCCCTCACCAACTTCTCCACCCACGCCGCATTGTAGACATAGAGCTCCAACGGATTCCTCCCCCCCTTCAGCGACTGAAGCATCTCAAAGTTCGTCACGAATCTTGTGACCGTCGGACGTTTGAGTTGCGCATTCGCGATCCTGTTGTACATTGCGCAAACCTTGTCGACGTTGGTGAAAAACTTTCCAACTTGATTCCCCTTGTCGACGACTGCTTTCAGCCAGTCCATGCACTTGTACATGTCCTCCAGGGCCAGATCCAAGGCATGGTCTGTGCAGCCCACACTAAAAATACCGAGGTACTTGGCCTCCACCATCTTCCCCGTTTTGGCGCAAACCCTCGCATTGTCCATCACAACACCGACAATGGACCCCACACCGATCTCCTGGATCACCCCGTCCAACAACTTGAAGTACGCTTTTGAGTCCTTCTCCCTCCCCTCCATGCAGACCGACTTCCAAAACACAGTTCCGACTGGGGAAGACACCATGACGTTCAGGTGCGGTTTGTTCCTCCGGTCCAACCACCCGTCCATCTGGAGCATGCACCCTGTTCTCTCCCACCTCTTGACTAGTGACCGCGTGTCTTCCCCCACCAACTTAGACTGCCCGTCCAACCTTTTTGTCCTCATCTCGTCCCTCTTGCAAGGCCGCCAACTGGGATGGCACTACTTCACAGCATCGAGGAAGTCAAGGAAGTAGAAGTTGTCCACCATGCTGAATGGCTGATTCGTGCAAATCAGCCACTGATCCATCTTCCGACTCGTCTGCGCGTTTTGGGTGACGATACTGTCCGCCTCCTCGAGCAAAGTTTGCCTCACCGACCGTCCACCACTTCCAGGGGCAGGAGGGAAGCATGTCTCAGGTCCTGCAGGCGAGGGAGTCTCACCATCACTCGGCCTCTTTATTGATGATGATGGACGCGACCTCTGCGTTGATGATGGAGGCACGAAACTACTTGAAGACGGTCCTGTGCTCGGACCACCACTTCCACCAATTGCACCTTCGAGCTGACTGGCCTGGTGCTTCCCCAACCGGATGCCGTCGATTCTCATCACCCTCTCCTCCACTGTCAATGCCCGAGTCACAAGCTCAATACTGCACTTCGTGATGAAGTGCTTCTTGAGGACTGACTTCGTGCCGACGAACCGAGTCTCGCAATAGTTGCACAGCCAGTGCCTCGACCCTTTGCCGGGGTCCTTGCCGTGAGGACCTTCATCAGTGAAGTGCCTCGCAAGAGACTGCAAGATCTGCTTCACCAGCGCCATCGACAACTTCACTTGCGCACACAGAACCCACAAACAGCCCAGGCGTCAGCCTGTCTCTTATACACATCTAGATGTGTATAAGAGACAGCTCCTGGACCGTCCACCAAACGAAGGAGCTTGACAACTGGCTCCATCACCGCAATGGCCTTATCCACAACCTTCCAAAAGCCATTCGTGTCCAT